CTGATAGGCAAAGGCGAATGTAGCTTCTCTCTTGCAACATGTATGTTCCTTATAAGCCAACCGTGGGATCTCTCCCGTAAAATAACATTAGAAACATGTGACTGAATCGTTTAAATAAAGATAAGCCTGTAAGCTTCCCATCCCCTCCCCAACCCCACCCCAGAGACATTATCTATTACAGGTTATCTTGATCTTAATTGATATTTCCCAGCTACTGTCGTTGCTGACAAAAAGCAGAATTTACGACCAAAGCACAGGTATATCTTTCTGAAAATCGGCATCCTCTGTATAACGGTCATTGTTTGGATTTACCTGTGTTATTTCGCTTACAAGCGAATTTCCGGCGCATTAAGGCAGAAGCGAGAATGTAGAAATATACATGGTGAGTGTGCATTGCACCTTTTATGTGCCAAATACACATCTATCTTTATCATCTTTATCTTAATTATCAGGAATATTGAAAGCATCTCATCATCATTGTTATTTTTTATAATAATAATTATTATATTATTATTATTATTATTATTATTATTATTATTATTATGCTCATCATCATAATCATATCATTATCACCATCGTCATCATCATATTTATCATCATCATCATCATCATCCTCTTCATTGTCAGTATCATCATCATTATCATCATAACCATCATTATCATCATAATCTTCATTCAATTCTAGCATCATCGTCATGATCATAACATTGTTTTATTATTAAAGTATAAACATATGTATACATGATTAAAACAGTGATAATATAACACTGAAATAATACTATTTACAATATTAGTGATTATTGTTACTAAATAGTAAGCGTACTGCCTCTTGTGATTATAATAAAACAGTAGTGAAAATGATAAACATAATATTATATATTACTATTACAATTACTTTATTTTATTTCAGAAACTTTGTCACCAAGTATTGAAGATTTTGATCCTGATTTTAAACGATACGAAATCAAATCATCAACATTTCAAATTGATCATGTGATTGGAAGTGGGGCATTCTCTGTTGTTTTCTATGGCACCATGGATTTACATGGCAACAAAAGACGCCAGCCCGTAGCAATTAAGACCGTGAAGGGTAAGAAATACATCAAGTAATTTTATCACGGCAATAAGAAAATCAACGATCCATTTGCCATTGTTGATGAGCTCAATAAATACTTTATTAAAGTCTTTATTAGTGTCTTTGACAAATAGGAACATAGTTTTAATTAGTATTCGTTTATTATTAACGCTTGTCATAATCTTGTTTCTTGTCCATGTGTGTCTATTACCCATGGGTAGTTTCAACTTTTCATCATTTCTTAATATTCTAATTCCAACATTATCTGTATCCAATACCAATGAAATAACTGATTAATGACATATTAAAGCCATCAAAAGATACGGTAAGAGATGTGTTCGGTTTTAATGGTTCTTCCAAAGCAGTAATTAAGTCTCTCGTGAAAAATATCTCTCAAAATCCTTAACTTATATCTTTAATCCAGTATTTTTGCTAATGTGCTTATCTAGAATTCAAATGGTTATTTCTTTCTATAAAGAAAAGAAAGATCCCCATTATAATTACAGACCCATCTCTCTTGCACTTTGTATTTAAAATGTTTGGATGATCATTTACAATAGACTTACTAAATTTCTTTTTCAAATACATTTTATTTAACAACTAATATGAAAATAGAAAGTATTTCTCAGCAATCTTGTATTAGGCCTATTTCACTTCTGTGACACTTCTTAACAGTTGGTATACAACTTCTTAATTCATTTTGTTGATGAAAAGTAAGTTGAATATGGTATATTCTTATTCTGCAGTTTAATACCGTATTTTGTAATATACAAATTATGGATAAAGGAAGAAGAAAAGATGAAATATAAATTATTGTATAATAATATACACAATGTAGAATTGAAGCAAAGATACAAACTTTAAAATATATATATATAAAAGTTTAAAGTACAGTAATCATGAAAATACCTAACGCTGTTGTTTTTATTAAGCCTATATTATCACGATTTAGGTATATGATTAACTGTGAAAAGAATATGCCTAATGTTTATTAATATGAGATAACAATAAATGCATTAGGTTTTCAAAAAATAGAAATTAACCTGTATTATGGTGTTAAAATCGTTAAAGACACATTGAGGCATGTAATCACGATTTAGGTATATGATTAACTGTGAAAAGAATATAATGTTTATTAATATGAGATAACAATGAATGCATTAGGTTTTCAAAAAAAATAGAAATTAACCTGTATTATGGTGTTAAAATCGTTAAAGACACATTGAGGCATGTAATCACGATTTAGGTATATGATTAACTGTGAAAAGAATATAATGTTTATTAATATGAGATAACAATGAATGCATTAGGTTTTTAAAAAAAATAGAATTTAACCGTATTTTGGTGTTAAAATCGTTAAAGACACATTGAGGCATGTAATCACGATTTAGGTATATGATTAACTGTGAAAAGAATATAATGTTTATTAATATGAGATAACAATGAATGCATTAGGTTTTTTAAAAAAAATAGAATTTAACCGTATTATGGTGTTAAAATTGTTAAAGAAACACTGAGGCCTATATAATCATGATTTAGGTATATAATTAACTGTCTGAAAAAAGGGTTTATTAATATGAGATAACAATGAATGCATTAGGTTTTCACAAAAAAAAAAGAATTTAACCTGTATTATGGTGTTAAAATCGTTACACATTTAAACAGGGGAAAATCCAGAGATGTCAGAAAGGGGGCGCGAAATCGATCGATTTGTTTTATAGACGCCCGTAAATACGGTAACCTCTAAGGCATTTTGGGCGATCAATAATAATTTTTATTTTTAACTTTCCAATAGGGGACCGGGCCGGCTCCCTCTCCTCTAAATCCGCCCCTGGTTTAAAGTAGGCCTATCGATTCACACTGCTTTTATCATGATCATTTCATAATCAGGTAATTAATAATCGTTCATTCTCATTGTCTAATCCGGATGTAGAATCGGCAACAGACGCACAGCGAGAGTCGTTTGTTAACGAAATTCGTATTATGATCAGCTTAGGCAGATTTCGAAATATCGTGAAGCTGATTGGTTGCTGTACATTGGAGTACCCATACTACGTCATATTGGAGTACATGGAACATGGTGACCTGCACAGCTTCTTGAGAAAGTGTCACCAGCCTCAGGTATAATCCCATTGCTTTTGTGGATGCCGCTGTTGTTCTTGTTATCATTATTATTAGGACTATAGTAAAGTGAAATTGAAATAAGCCAATTCGTAGTTTGATCTGCGCATGTCCGTATCAAGGTCAATCGAAATACACAAACCTCCTAGGTTTATGTCCATTGGCCTTATGCACAGTTCAAACTATAAATTAACTTTTGGGTTAGGAAACGATTTGGCTGACACAAGTACTGTGCCCTGGTAGCTGTAAAGCTTGGTGCAGATAATTATGATACTCATCGCTATACCTCCTTGCTATTAGTATTTCCAACGTTTATTTCATAAGTAATCAACTGCGACAATTTAGCTTTACATTTCCACGGGGACTCGAACCCGATACCTTTTGCATAAATGTCATACATAACAACCAGATACCTTGGAGTGTTTTGCGCGAATGGATAATGTTAGTGACGTCAAGTTAGTTGCAATAGCGTCTCAATCTCATCAAGACTTGATGAGGTTCTTGTGGCGGAAGATGAGGGTATTACAGTTTTCTATGGTCTACACCACTTGTAATACAAAATATTCAAGATTCTTATTGGTATGTCCATCATAAAATACAAAAGTATATAAAATAAAAATATTTGTCACCCATTGCCAAGAAGTTGGCCTACGTTTTAAATATTACAAAAAGTAAATCACGAAATAATAATTGTATACAATATTGGCGGTGAGTCGTGATGCAAACCTGTTTAAAGCGATAGTCAACTGTATTAAAAAAATACTACGAAATGATTAATTAGGCTACTTCTCAAATTTTCAATTTTATTTTTATACCAACGTACCATTTCCAGATTTGTAATATTTCCATTGGCAAGATGTGTATAAGAGACAGGTATATAATTAACTGTGTGAAAAAAGGGTTTATTAATATGAGATAACAATTAATGCATTAGGTTTTCAACAAAAAAAAAGAATTTAACCTGTATTATGGTGTTAAAATCGTTACACATTTAAACATGGGAAAATCCAGAGATGTCAGAAAGGGGGCGCGAAATCGATCGATTTGTTTTATAGACGCCCGTAAATACGGTAACCTCTAAGGTGTAGTAATGGGATGGCTAAATTCTTTAAATTTATATAATTAGGAAGAAATATTTTTGGAGAATTCAAGGTAGCGGCGGGCGTAATAGAAATTAAAGAAAAACTTTTTTTTTCTAAAATTTCCATTTTTACTTGGCGGCTAATTGGCAAAAAACAATTATTTCTATTCTATTTCGGGCGGCGGGTTAGCTAAACAATGTATAAACAAAGTCTCGCATAATGCTAAACACGTCATGCTTTTAAACAAATGTCATCAAAAGCGAGACAAGATTGCGTGCTGGAACTTTGTCTCATTCACGCTTGTTTTTACATTTTATTATGTATTTTCGTAATTAAGTCGTATAACCATTTCAACATTATTCGATACTCTACAGTGTCAAGATCCGCTATACAATTTAAATGACATCAATAAATGTAACATCGCCCGCCAGGTGGCATTGGGAATGGTAAGCAACATAAAATGTATTTCAATTATTTAAAGGACAAAGATTCTAATCTGTTAGGTGGATAGAAATCGATTAAGTACTGTACGAATTTTTCGAGCATCGCGGGAGGTAAAGGCCTATAACATCATAAAATGTAGATTGGAAGTATTATTTAATTGCTTATAACATTCATTGTTAGGTGAAATGTAATAAAAATAAGATGTTTCGTCAAAATCGTTTTAAAAGGCGTACGGTACGTTTTAAGAAAGAAGTGTCTGTGTTTACAGTTTATAAATTCAAACAACATGAGCCAGGTGGAGCAGTCTGCGGGCAGCTCGCTAAGCCCTGTCCTGACTATTAAATTTCATTTGACAAAAACATGTGACATGCCTAAATATGGTCATGATGACATCACATCATGACCATATATAGGCACATCATGACCACATAGGCACATCATGATTACATATGGACATACACCATTATTTTTTCAAAGTTTGCCTCTAAACTTTTGAAATTTAGAGGCAAAACGGGGGGGGGGATCCCCCCCCCCCGCTTTCCTATTGAATCCGCGCCTACAGTAGGTTAAAATTTTAGATTTAAAATATATTCAAATATTGAACTGAACTTAAACTGAACTATATGACCCAAAAATAACCCCGCATATAGTTAGGCTTGATGAGGGACAATATAGACGTTACATGTCAGTACTGTCGCTGCACTGCGGCTGTCGCCGTCACAGCCAAAATATCCAACTTAAAATATTTGGAACTAGACAAAAAAAGGAGTTTTTTTTTCTTTTTTAGATTGAAAATAACGTCCACAAATGATTGTCTGGGAACATCTGAAGGAAATTATTCATGCGCCTTATTGAAATTATTAAATAATTTAATATGCAAAATACACAAAATTTAAATTATAATAAATAATATTGTGTACGCTCACTCTGCATGAGATATTAGGCCGGAATCAGACAGATTTCATCTTCGGTATGAACGTGACATGACTATCTTGAAACATGTTATATTTGTGTATGAGCTAAATTAAAAAAAAAAAAAACAATGATTTGCCGTGAACGATTTACTCTCTTCAGCTTATTCGTCCTTGATAATTCATGCCCATTGCACATCCGTGTTACATCTTTAATTATGCCTAGTGCTGATTTTAATGTTCAATTATTTTAAAAGAGACATTAGGGACTACAGCACCCTACTAAATTTCGAGTCATAACATGTTAAGCCCCTAGAAGGTGATTACTATAATAATCATAAACATTATAAAATGTACTGCTGGCAAGTGATGATTTATAATCATGCGTATTTTTAGGAATTTCTATCATTGCGTCGGTATTACCATGGTGATCTTGCAGCTAGGAATATACTGGTTGGTAAAGAGTTGACGGTGAAAATATCTGATTTTGGTTTATCGACTGATATCTACACGAGCGGACACGGCGTGCTGAAGGACAAGCAACCCAGACCAATTTTGTGGGCAAGTCTTGAGACAAACCTGTATGGAATTTGCACGTCAAAAAGTGATGTGTAAGCAATATTATCTCTTAAAATATTAATTAGAAAATTAAATTAATAATTCCATTTAAAAATGCAACAATAACCCACGGACAGTTTTAACTTAACAAAAATGTCAGAATTTTTTTTCCACACTATTTCAATTTGTCTTGGGCTAACATCAATAAATGTTGCAATACATGATGTAGGCGTAACTAATGATTTGCCCGAAGTATACCACATCGTAAGATTTTACCGAGCCCAGTAGCTTGAAATATATACATGTACTCGATTCTGTACTGCAAACCAAAAATATGGAGGTTTTACAACTGAATAAAACTTTCTAAAACTTATTACCAAACAAAATATTTAAATACCAGAAATTGCTAAGGAAATCCTCAGAAGGTATTTAAAGAAATTTATGATTTATGCTTTGTGTTGTACGTAGTGTTAGGAGGAGATATCTGTAGGAAGTACATTTTTATATGAATCAAATTCAATTAAACGTCTGTTTCCAGTAGCTAGTAGCTAGCCGCACGACGTTAACCTTAACTTTAACGTTAGTACCCAAATTGCAGCGCGATAGCTCCGCCCCTTTTGTAAACAAATCGAAATACGCATGCGCGAACCCGTTATTAACTTACGTCGAGCAATGTAAAATCCTGAAATTAACGTTCTCCGCAACGCAAGATGAATACATTATGACGTCATCCGTTACCGTTAAGGTTAACGTCGTGCGGTATACTAAAAGGACAAAGTAAGCAATGCAATTACATTTGATTTACAATGCAGATTTATTTAATGCTTTATTTGGTAAAATGTTCATGCAGTTTTTCTAAAGTATTATTGATTACAGTTTCTCGCACTTTTTTCATCTTCTTGATACCTCTAAATTATGGCAAATATACAGTCATGATATTTATCAACATATAAATCAAATCATCGACACAATAATGTTGCGATAAATCGTTTTATTATCAGGTCTTTACTATTATTATTAGTAGTAGTAGTAGTGTTTGTATTATCGTTATGGAACTTCGGAATGATTTCAGTAAATATGCGTAAATACTGTACAACACTTGATTATTTTGTTTTTGTTGTAAAATTTTACATGAAAGAGATATGCTCAAATTTTATTATTATTCTTAATCCAGAATGAATAAGTCAGATTAAAAATATTTTTCAGTTGGTCGTTTGGTGTCCTCCTTTACGAAATTTATACTTACGGAGCAGTGCCATATCCAGGTATACTTGTGACAGAGGTGGTTGCGAAGTTACAGAATGGATATCGAATGGGCAAACCAATGGACTGCCCAGAAATTATGTAAGTTCTCGCAGTCAGATTTAATGCATTGTTAGACTGCCTGACTTAGATTCACTAATTTATCTGACATATGCAACCAACATCAAATAGGCATGGGCATTTAATGGTTTATTTAATGTACCGTATAGTACACGCTATAGTTTTATGTTTTGGAAAGTGTTTATTTCTCGTATAGAATAAACAAGGCTTATGACTGAGCTTAGTGCTTATATTTTCTGTTCGCTAAGAAAGATATATTTAGAAACTATAATGATTACATTTTTTTTTACTTCTCACAGATACACAATAATGTCTAATTGCTGGGACGCAATACCATCGAACAGAAGGACATTTACACAGCTTGTTGAAGTAATTGATATATATCTTGAGGAATTCTCTCAGAACGACTACATGCAACTAGGCAGTCAAGAAAACCTCACCTTACAACACACCGACAAACAGCCGCTGAGTACACCGGGCCCAGCCATCGAGGAGTCTCCATTTCTCAGCCAGAGAGAGTTCGTCTGAGTGTGCCATTTTTTATCCTCACTTTAACCGAGTGAAGCTTAGGTGAACGCGGCCGGTCTTTCGGGACGGAAACGATGGACCACAGACACATGTTGAGAAAGAGTTGACGCCACCCTTCAATTAGATACATCATGCGTGAAGGAAATTTATCATTATTATCATCATCATCGTCATCATTATCATCAGGTGATGATGATAACCAAATACAGAGTCAAAATACTAACTCCCATCACGATGGCGTGTATATCTTCACTTGGAGTATGTATTATTCTCTCAAATATTTTTTCGTATAAGATTGAACTATTTTCATGTGCAACATTAAGATTTAAAATCAATAAAAAAGCGAGTGATAGACAGCTTTACTATGGCGAAGAATCAAAATTTTAGTTTGAGGGTAGATTGAAAAATGTTAGCGCAAAGTGCCACACAAAAGCTAGTTAATCATTGTGGAATTCCAGCGTGCATTCCCCCTTATAGAGATTGGTTTGTCTGCTGTCAGAAGGCGAGCGATCCTTCGTCACCCCCTCAATTTGCCACCGTTTTTTACCATATTAAAACACGGGTTTTACAAGAGAAAAGAACACAAGGCAGGAGGCGGCAATAATCACTTTATAGCATCACCATGGATACCAGACATAATTACTGATCATCAAATTACGAGTCCGAATGAGACAAAAACAGAGAAGCAGCAAACCTACAAGAAGAATACAGAGAATGAGCAAAAAAAAAGTGAGAGTTGACAGAATGGAGAGAGAGAGAGAGAAAATGAATTTAGTTATCATTCATATATATTTGTCCGCTCCATCATTTGATTTTTACATCCAAAGTTTAGTTCAGCACCTCCAGATGATATCAACTCGATGCCAGTAGTAAAGGTAGCCTCGGAAGCAAGGAACAAACACACCTGACCACACTCCTCAATCGTTCCAAAACGACCGTTTAACTAAAAAGTAAAAGGGAAAACAATATATTTTCATAATAATATAATAATACAAAAAAATATAATAATAAATATAAAAATATCGATAATGACGATGATGATGATGATGACGATGATGATGACGATGATGATGATGACGATAATGATGATGATGAATAACAATAACAATATCAAAAACAACAAGTTATTATCTGACTTAACATGAGTCTGCATAGACTAAGTAACAAAAACAAAACATTCAATTCAAAGGAACTATTGTAAAGAAAACATTTAATTTTATTGTTCAATTTGTTGTTTGAATCATTTTAATAAGAGATTTATTATTGTACATTTTTTTATGGTTTTCCCCCTAAATATTGGTGTTATCTTGAATGTTTCTATCTTTTCTTGTACTCTGGATTGTCATATCCAATCATTATATATGTTTGATTGCAATAAAGTTTAATTTGAATTTGAAACTCATTGTTAAACTCGCAAATGCTACGTACAGTCTCCCATAAAAAAAAATTTAAAAAAAATAAAAACCTTGTGTTTGGTGTAACGCTAACATAAATAGAAACATCAAAATTGACTGCCAGGTTTAGACAAAATCTATGCACAGTGTACATCTGGTATAAACAACTTGTGTTGCAATGTAAAACCTGTCAATATGTCATAGTATGTGAAAAGACTGCAAGCTTTCCAATTTTGCTCTTTCAAATATTATTCAATCTTACAATCTTATATACCGTTATTAGCTCTGTCTATGCTATAAAATTTTATTTCACAAAAAAACTATTGTATGCCCATATATAGTGATGATGTGCCTATATATGGTCATGATGTGATGTCATCATGACCATATTTGGGCACGTCACATGCTTTTGCTAAATAAAATATAATAGACTGAACAGTTTTTTTTTTTGTTCAAGTTACCTGAGCATTAGCGCCTCCTTGTATCATAGCTTCCGGATTGTCTGATTGTTTTGCACACCATTCCCACAAAGGAGTCCAAATGTTACCAGGTGAAAAGCTATCCAAACCAATCACAATAAGGATAAAAAGCATGTTTACGTGTAAATCCGAAAAACAAAGTTGCTATCACAATGGACAAATTTCCATTAAAGCCCGGCCCCTGGAATTTGTTGCTAAGATCAAACAAAACGACAATGTAAAAATACAGTTTCGCAAACACATGAATTTGTGAGACAAACACGTGCATTTATATCAATATCATTTATTATTACTGATATTATTATTAAATTAATATAATTGCTGTAATTTCGAAATATTTGTCTAATAAAATTTTGCTGTACTGCTTTTCATTTTAAAACATCAAATAATTAACTATTATATTAATAACGGTTTATCTTTAACAGAATTATTAAAATTTAATATTATTTTTAACTCTGCTATCTTGTGTAAGAGATGTGTCATGCAATTAACCCCACCTTTGTTAAGGTGGATATACGAACCTTAATGCCATTAGAATAATGAAATAAATAACTCACGTATTAACTCGTACTCCGTGTTTTGCCTCATCAATTGCTAAAGCCTTTGAGAACGCCACTATTGCACCCTGAAAAAATGTTTTGATTAACATTTACTTATCGGCGAAACTGAATTGAATTGAATTGAATTTATTTGATTTCTCTCTATATATAATACATTAAATACATAGAAAGAACACAGAAAAAATCGCTGTGATCAGGGAGCATCCATAATACTATCGTAGGCTATGACTGATCTCTGCTTTGACAAAAAATTTTTAATTATGTTAAATGGTTGGTGGCGCTCTAAATTTAAAGTTCTGCGTGCATGCTGGCTATACTGCCAGTAACGTGGGTGGGGAGGGGTGCCCTTCTGTCATCCCAGATCCACCAGTGTGATCCAACATAAGCCTACATCAGTTTCGAGGTTAAATACTTGAGTTTAAGTATCAAATACCTATCGCCACCAAAGTAATTTCGTAGTTCGAACTGTGCATGCACTCCAACTTAACAACGAAATTTAGTGGTTTTATATTATATACAGTAATAAATTTAATATCATTAGTTAATAATTATATTATTATCATCCAAATCATTTGATTGATGCTTCATTTATCAAACAATATTCAATTATTCTTGCATTCTTTTTACTTTTTATCTTCTATAAACAAGTAGTTTTTTTTTTGTTTTAATTGAGATATGTCGTGTTTTTTTATATTTTTATAGGATTAAACACTACACCTTAAAATATTCCCTTACCTTTTAAACATGTTAATAACATGTTTACAGTCTCAAGCATTGGCTTACCTTTGTACATACGTATGGAATTGCATACGATTGACCAACTGTAGCCACTAGACTGGAAACGTTTATTATGTTCCCGTTTGTTTTCCGCAGATGTGGTAGAGAATACTGCACATAAAAAACATTGTAAATAACATATACATTAATCTACCAACTTTCAGTTATCGTAGACAGAGTACTACGTTCTTCGGGCTTTTAGAATTGTTTGAGGCTTCGAAAATGTTTCTATTGATTCGGGTTTTTTTATGTATTTTTTTTCATTTTAACACTGGTAGAAACACACGAGTTCATTCTTTTATACTAAATCACCAGTAATTTATATAACTAAACTGAGGCTAGAAGCTTTTTCTAGAAGATGTGTTGGTCATTGGAATGCTCTGGCTGATGAGGGTGTTAATTCTTCATCATTCAAATTGTTCATTAAATTTATTTAAAATCACTAATTTATGCAAATGTTTTTGAGAAGTTTATACTGGTCAACTGATGCAACGGCATCAGGTCAGAAGGATTTTTAAATATCTTCAAATATTTACTAGAGGTTCCACTAAAAAATATTTATATATATTCTTAAAATTGTAATTTATAATTTCAGGTCCACATTTAAGACTTTATAGCTTCTTGTTAAAGCTTTAAAACTCAAGAACCCGCTTATTTGACCAACTTGACAAACATGGTCAATAGTTATACATACCTTTGCAAAAGCAAAATAATTTATCAAATTTAAGTTGATAAGTGATTTAAACTCTTCAACTGATGTGTCGTCAATAACTTGTTGTGGTGGATCTAAATAAAGTAAATAGAACATTGATGGTGCCAGGATCTTACAGAAGGGAAGAGGCGATGTCCTCGACGAGAGTATTATGAACAATCAGATTAAGTAATAATATAAAAATACGATAATACTAATTATAGTAAAACGATGTCACATTGTCTCTTAAAATTTTGAAGATATATAAACAAAACAAATAAATAACAGAACATTTCAATTACGAAATGAATAATTATGAAAATAATGAAAATGACAAGCAAAATAAAACATACAAATAATAATAATCAAACAATTTTATTGCTTTTTAAAATAATAATAATATATATATTTTTCAAAATTTTTATGGTATTACTTTTGAAGAAAGTAATAATAAAGCACAATAATTCAACATATATTTTAGATTTTCCATTTCAGATTAGTAATACACACACCATACAAAGTACAATTTCTTTGAAGTACAGTTCCAAACCTGATTTAACTTAGTCTGAATTTGCCGACATAGAAAAAAAAAACACAAAGCGATACTATAAATTGCCAACATTTTGAACGTTGTGATAGTTTTCAGAAAATAAAGGTAACACAATTTGCAGCAACTTTTGCAACGTTACTTAGTCACAAATTACGTTAAATAATTTTAAGTACAGTATTTACCGATCTACACACACACACAAATTGTTTTGACATCCAAACTGCAAGTGGTCCTCTATCTCAAAACTATTTTTTTCGTCCAAGAGTCGTACAATTACTAAAACCTCGTAAATCTCGTGATCTATTTAATTAGCAAGCCTCATAGTTTACGAGTTTACTATGGATTCGACAAGAGTTAAGTACAAACTACTGTGTTCCGAACGAACAAGTACGAATTGTCACAAGTCAAATTCGAGTTTACTACAAGTTCTTGATTTTGTAACGTAGCTTATAAACGAGTATCCCGAGATAGGCGTTTTAGAGCACGACAAACATCTAGCAACTTAAGCCGGGAAAACCTCGTACGTAAATCTACCAACCGTGTAACAAACTCAGGAAACTTGTACAAAACTCCCGCCGAGTTGTCTACAAGTTACAGTAGATGCCCGTGTATTCTATTAATTACCTTTTTGTGAGAGTCGCTTTGTTTTATTTCTATCAAAAATCCATGAAAATAATAGTCAATTTGCACAAAAGTCGACGCATGCTCTATCTGCGATTAACGGTGTCTACATTATTAACAGCTTTGACCTTCTTTGAAATACTTACGCCAACCAGCATTGTTAACCAGACAATCAAGCTGGCCAAATCTATCTATTGTTGATCGATATATAAACATAATTATAAAATCAAATACAACTTTATAAATAATTTCAAAGCAATAAGACGTTTTATACTTTATGGCCTTGTAATTGGATATTGGACATGCTTTAACGATAACAGTGGATGAGGCACTGGGCAGGAGGGAGAAGTGCTTAAGCTCCCACCGGTCCTCGGAACCCTGTCGTCAGTCAACCAGTCAGCAATCTATAAGCACCCTCTCTTTGGCCATGGACTAATCGGACCAACAGTTATTCTGAAATATCGCTTGTACAGTATCGTGATAATATTATTTACATTGATACCTTGATTTCATCTTCGTTCTGGACGTCACATTTTATGAAAATGCTTTCACCCGGTCCAAGTCGATTGACTTCAGATTCCAGCTTCTTGCCGGCTTCCTCTGCAATAAGTAATCATCAATATTTCATGTTGCATATTATTATATATGTTTTATCTATCTGCCCTCAAACGCAACTACTAATTAACCATTTTATTTGATGTATCTATAGAGGATATACATTTTTGTCAAAGTGTAGTGTCTCGGGAATCAGACAGCTATGGGACCAAAGAGGTATAGGCCTCAGTTTTATTCTAGTTGTCATTTTTCTGGTGCATTAAATGGTACCGGTATATCACATTAACATTTTAAATTACATACATGACAGATGATACCTGGAATTTATAACATTTTAAATGTTCTTCTTACCTTCTATAGAACAAAAACCCACTTTAGCACCATTCTGAACTAAAATATAAATGACGTGAGCATATTAGGAATTGAATATATTTATTCATCATACCAGATGTTCTATTTTTTTAGCTGATACGACAGTTTAAATTATGGATAACATGTGACAAAATGGTAATTGAGCCAGTGTAGTAGCTACGCCAAAGGAGCATATTCACCGCTGTCTGTCGATCTCTCTTTCTGTTTGTCTGTTATCAACATTATGGAATTAATTATCATCAAATTTAGAGGAATTACATAATAGGGAGTTACTATGAGTTATCTATAACTTTGCAATTTACACTTTCTGTTGAATGTGAAATGAATAAATAGAAAATGCTGGAACTTGATGAATGATGAAGCATGCTTGTTTCTTATCATTATACCGTTAGAAAATTCTGAGTAAAATTACTATGGAAAACATTCCTTACAAGTGAAAACGCTGATTTTATTCTATTTACACACATTAAACATTATATTTGAAAAAGAAAAGTGGTAATGTATAAATGTAATGTAGTTCGATTTATATAGCATTTTATACCCAAGTCTCAATACCAGCTATCTCTCGTCTGTCCACAACAGGGGCTGTATGAACCAGTACACCAGGGTAACCCTCTACTCATCTCGAAAGATGCACTGCAAAGTGTCTAAATAATATACAGCTTTATTGAAAATAAAAAATAATCGAAGAGAAATATAAATTCTTTTCATGTTCAGTTTATAATTACGATAACCTATGCTTGCATTTACCAGTTGATGGCTGTGTTGTTCTCAATTTTGTCAACAATTAATAATCTAATCAAATCTCAGGTCACTCTAATCATACACCACAGATCTCCAAAATAAATCAGGTGATTTTTCTTTGTTTGCATTCAGTGGGGACTATGTGCGCGTAATTTACTTTCACATTGTACCTCATACCTAAATTTGCACCCGTTTTTAAGAAATACCCCGGATTTTTCTTAAATGATGGTTAAATATTTTATAGATTTAAGACTGAAAGAATTAATGGATGGATGGAAGGTTTGATGGATGGATGGATTCGTTGATGGATGGATGGATGAATGGGTGGATGGATGGATGGATGAATGGGTGGATGGATGGATGGATGGATGAATGGACGGATGGGTAGGACTAGATAGATGCATATGGATACGGCGCACGGACGACAGGACGAATGATAAAAAAAAAGCGAAAGAATGAACAACAGAAAAGACGGACGGACGACGAGCGGACAGACGGTGGATGAATCGATGGATGGGATAAATGAATAAAACATGGATAAGAGACAGAAGAATGGGAGTTGAATAGTGCAAACAACACCAAAGTAAAAACCAATGGCTTGAACGCATGATCCCTACTTTAGTACTATTTAGCAACCGAGACCAGCATTGCAAGCAAAGTAAAAAGTAGGTAGGCTACTAACCGAACACTCGGACTACTCCTTCTCCAATGCCTTTAGATCCTCCAGTCACTAAGGCAACTTTGTTGAGATAGCGCAAACTAGACGCCATTTTACATCCATATAGCTGTCAACACATGCGTTCGCCAGAGCCGTAGCGCCATATGACTCATATACCTTTTTGCACGCCCCTGGATTTATGGAAAGCAGTTAGAAATCTCAAACACGAAAAACAGAATGGTTTTCTACTCATTTATCCATCAAAATAATGCGGTCGATAAGGTCGTGTAAGTC